TTAAGTATTGGGTTGTGTTTGATGTAATGCAAGTTGAAAGGAGTGAAATTTGTTAAATATTTTCTTGCATTGTGGGTAGCTGGGGGTGGTAGCACTGGTTGTAGGTGGAGATGAATGAAAATATGTTATGGATCTGATGGATCGCTTAAGCGATCTGGTATGTCGTATAATGCAACAGATCGCAGATCGCTTAAGCGATCAGACTTATTTATACCAAATCACTTAAGCAGTATACTGAATCGCTTAAACGATATAGCAATACACACTAAATATCACCTGAAACAACCAATAATTTCATAAAATATATAAATTATTAACTTTACTTCATCTTCTTCCTCCTTCTTGCCTAACGTTGCGTCGGCATCGCCCTCTTCATTTTCAATTTCGACTCCTACCCTCCCTTGTTCACCTGGCGGGTTGTCTTCTACTGGCGCCGTATCATCTCCTATTGGACCAACTTCATTCATCGGAATTTGCTCCACCGCAACCTTCGATTCTCCAATTTTCAAACCACTTACATCCACAATTTGAAGAGGGGCAAGGTCTTTGTCAAAATCTTTGTTTAGGTCAATCATTCTTTCTTTCTAAGTAAGAGGGAATGTCTTCAATACAAACAGTAAACGATTGCGACAATGGGTGGCAGAAAACGACAAGAAAAACGCGGTGAAGGGTGGCTGTTTCATCGGGGTTTTCTTAGGGTCGATTAAGCGTTTGAGTCCGCTTAATTGATTTTGATTGGAGAAGGGGGGTCGTTTGCAATTTTTACAATTTAAATAAACTTTTGTTAATTATTATTTCCCACATATGTTTAAATATTTTTAATTTAACCCATTTTACATGTTTAATGAATCCTAAGTGTGCCACGTCAGTTTTTTTATCTTAAAAAAAATTGCAAAATTTTTTCAGGGTTATTTTTTTAAATGCAAACTTGAGATGTCCGGGGAGTTAAATTGCCTCCCATTATTTTCTATCTCTAAAGAACTTTCTCTCGCAATCTTGATTCTCACTTTCAATTTGTCTTTAATGTTGTTGTTTTGGAGATTGAATGAGCAAGATTGTCTCTACGACATCGTTATTTGATTTCTCTATTGTTGTTGAAGGCCAAACTGATTGGAACTTAGGGTTTATGTTGCATTCGTAGACTTGGGGGTTGAGGTTTGGAATTAGAGGGAGTGGGAGGAAGTGAAGTCCTTTTAGTTTTTGATTGATGTGGTGATTGGTTTGATCGTTTTGTTTCAAGAATGATAATCAAGTAGAACTTAGAATCTCAAATGTCTAGTTTGAAATGGTGTAAACTCGACGTCTTGGCTAAAGAGGATGATAAGAACTCAGCAAAGAGGAAGAAACGGAAAACTAATGGTTATTATCCGCTTAATCTACTTGGTGAGGTGGTTGGTCGTATACTTCCAATCAGGTTTCACGGAATTCTTAACGATGCTCTAGGTGAGAAGGGATTGGCTGCATCTTGGTGCATTGAAGTATCGAGTTCTCTGGATGAGGTGGTGTCGAAGTTGAAGGTCTCAGATATATCTGGTTACTAAGCATAAGTGTTGTATTTATTTGTTTACTCTGAATTAGAATTTTCTTCAACTAGTTTGTAAATCGATTTTGTTTGATTACTAATACGGATCAGTTAGATCTGCCAGTAGGTGAATGAAGTTTGGAGAATAGCTGCTCCTTGTTTTGTTGTTGTAAAACATTTTTTTGACCTACTTTACAGTACATCAGTTTATCATTGACATCTTGTTAGGACTTTGAAGTTCTGTTGATGTTTACGTTTTGTGAAAGTGTTTTGTGCTTTGAATATCTATAGTTTTCTATATATTTGGTATGTTTTAACTTTTAACTATGTTGCATTGTGAAGCTTTTTGTAGTGGAATGATTCTATTGACGACTCACCAGGAGGATCATCCTATCATGTGCATAGATTTCACTTACCTAGCCCAAAAGGAAGGTTGTCTCTCCACTAAAGAAGCATGAAATTACAAATCAGAAGGAGAAAAAAGAAAAGATGGAGTTTAGAAGAAGAGGAAGCTTTAAAGAACGACGTGGAAAAGCATGTTTCTCTGTTTTGACCATCTTGCCCTTCTTTAAAACAAATTTTTCTAACGGAGCATAACGATGGGTGGGAAACCGTCATTTTGAAACTTAACGGGTGGGAAACTGTCATTTCACCAAACCTTGGGTGGGAAAAAGTCATTCTCCCTATTTTTAAATCTAAAGGGGCCGTAAGGTTGAGCCCAAAACCTCTGTTTAAGATCATCTTCAATGGTGCTCTTTATTTTGAAGAGCATCTTTTATATAAATAAAGAGCATCTTCATTAATTTTTAAATATAAAGAACACAATTTTTATTCAAATCCAATAGACTCTTTAAATTTAATAAAGATGCTCTTTATTTTTAACAAAGAGACTTAATGAGAGAGAGAAATAATAAATAAAATGCATATGAACTTGTAGTTTATTAATTAAAATTAGGATAGAGAGTGAAATTTGACTCTCTAAATGTGGAAAGTCAAACTCACTCTCTAATTTATATTTTAAAGATAAAGAGTGTTGGACTTTGTTTTTATGAATAGACTCTTTATAATAAAAAGTTTGGATCATATAAAGAGTCTTTTGGAGATGCTCTAATATGATAGAATGCTATTTATGAATTCCTAGAAAGTAAAATCATAGAGAAAGAGAAACTTTGTTTTTTCTAAGCAAGCATTTCTACTTGAGAAAAGTTATGACTTGTTCTCTTAGAGGTCAACACCTTTTAAAATAGAGCTCAATGACACTTTGACCCCCAGATATGGCCGCTCGTGTGCTGTTTCGACAATTGTCGTTAGCAGTGGTAGCCGACGGTCGACAATCGTCTTGGGTTATTGGAAGTATTTTGTTAATTTTTAAACTTGTATTATGGAGGGTATTTTAGCTAAAATCTCAAATGTAATGGGTTAAAATCAAAGCAATACTCTAAATAATGATAATATTAATATTAATATTAAAAAGAAAGGGAAATTTAGTAAAAGCTTCCCCGATAATTTTTTATTTCTTCCAACTAAACATATTAATTATTTATACCCACCTATCTAACCAAATATTTTAATATAACATTTTTTATTAATCTTCAAAATAATTTATCTCATTAGTAATCCTATCTTTTCAGTAATAAAACATTGCCGAAACCAAACGCTATCTTAACGTTAGTTTCTGTCCATCATTTTCTATTTGATCGGCTTTGAGCAAAAAAATTCCACTTATACCCTTAACTTTTACGTGGTTAAAGATGGTCAAATAAAAAATTTGATGGACAAATACTAACTTTGGGGTAGGGAGGAAACCTGTCCTTTCAGTATAGATTCAGGCTTTAAAATAACAACAAAAATTTAGGTTTAGGTGCTCAAATTAACCTTATAATTAAGTGGCACAACTACTTTCAACTTTTCTTTTTATGCGGAAGAATATGCGGTTTATATTCATTTAATTACGTTAACATTTTTACTTTAAACATAAATAATTGTTAAAAAAAGTATATAATTCAACATTCAATGCAAAGTTAAAAAGGTGGAGCCCATAATTCCATAACCATGGCGGCGTAGAGGAGCTCCTGAGAGAGACAGTCAAGAAGATAGAGGAGGAGGAAGAGTCGCAACTTAATTAATTGTCAACTTGGATGAATCTTTAATAGGTCAATTAGTAGTTGTGTAAGTGGATGAGAGTCTGCAAAATTAATATAGGAAGCTCTAATACAGTTACCAACAGTCCAACACCATACGAATCTGAGTATTTTTATATCCACGAAATCATTTATTAATTATTATTAAACTCATCTGTTTCGTTTAAAAAATATTAGATACCCATGATAAAAGTTTTTGATAATTTTCAAGAGGATGTTTGATATTTTTATGGAGATTTTTTATAGTGATAGGAGGATTTTAATACTTAGATAAATGTTTTAATAACCAACTCGGGGTGAAACCCGACAAAGTTGTCGGGTCCCTAATTGACCGGTCGGTCAAATCGAGTGTCAAAATGTTTAAAATTTAGCAAATATGCCCCCAAAATTCGTTAAGTCCTTACAGGTTTAAAATTTTGCAAACACACTCCAAATACAAATTGGCGGTCGACTGGTTGACGGCTATGACACACCAAATGCAATCCAAATCATCCCTTGAGCCCATTTCCTAGAAAATCTACTCAAGATCTGGCCGAAATCGAACAGATCTTACTGACGTCGACATCGACAACCTTCCCCATCACCACAAAAATACTTCCCTCAACCTTCTAACCAAAACCCATCTGACCTCACTCCTGTTCACCTTGCCAATCACTAGCAAAAGCTGGTTGTTGCTGCCGTTGGTTTTTTTATTTCCAATTGATTCACTCATTAGAAATCACCTCCGTTGACACCATTGCACTCACCGGAACTTTCTCTTCAAAAGCCCCAACATCTCGGCCTTCAATTGTTTGCCGATCATCATCCCAATTTCTAGGGTTTTTTGGTGAATAGGGAAATTGGTAACCCGACCCGGTGAAAGCCCCGAGTCTTGGTTGAACCTGTTCAACCAGTTAGGTCGAGCTGAGTTTTAAAACACTAACTTAGATTTCTAAGTAAGACGGATGATTTTAATACCAAACGATCTCATAGAAGAAAACATGAAAAAATTCTTACACCGAATTACATGTCACGTGACTCAGACCAGTCATGTATCCCATTAACAAATATTGCGAGTGAACGATCGTTCACTGTTATTGGACGGGAGTCCATTATATGTGGACACCCATCCATGCGAAATGAATGATGGACTCCCGTCCATATAATATGGACGGGAGTCCATTTACTATGGACGGGGGTCCACATTTAATGGACGCCCGGTCAAACTTTAAATTAAAAAAAGTTTCTAAACAAAAATAATGGACGGGCGTTCATAGGTTATGGACGGCCGTCCTTGAATAATGGACGGGCGTCCACATATAATGGATGCTCATCCATACTTTAAATAAAATAAAATTATATACAAAATGAAGGGACGCATGTTCATCAGTTATGGATGATCCTTCCTGGATAATGGACGGGCATCCACATATAATGGACGACCATCCCTGAATAATGGACGGCCATTCACATATAATGGACGCCCGTCCATACTGTAATTAAAAAAATTATGGACGCTTGTCCATTATTCAGTGGATGGGCTTCCCTAAATAATGGACGGGCGTCCACATATTATGGACGCCCATCAATACTTTCAATTAAAAGAAAAATTTTAAAACAAATTTTTCGGACGCCCGTCTATATAATATTGACGACCATCCATAATATAATAAAATGTTCTTTTTAAATTTACTTTTTTTTTTTTTTTTTATTTGTAAAAAACATTAGCTTCTCCAAAACAAGCTCCAAAATTTTTACATGAAACAAAAAAGAAAAAAACTTCATTTTATACCTATTGCATTTTGTTTCATTGTTCCCGTCTGTTCTTCACATCTGCATTCTTCTCATCTACGGTTGTACCAGTTTCTTCTTCAACAGCCACAACCGGTTTCTTCCTCAACAACCAACTACCGTGACAAGAAAGAAAGCCATCAATTTTTCATGAAACAATCGTTTAGGGTGGAAAGGAAGATAGGGAAATCAAAATTTGTTCAGATTAGAAAGATTTGTTGAGGTTGTTAAGGGGTTTTTTATTTAATTTATGCATTTATTTAGTTTTGTATTCTATTTTGAATTGAATATATGTTACAATAGAAAATAACTGATAGAGAATATTTGTTGATGATTGTTGTGAATCAGATTCATGAACGCGAACACTAGTATTGGTTTTGCATTAAATTACAGAATATGGAAGAGTCCAGTTTGCCTCATTTCAATGATGTCGAGGTAAATTGTGCTCGAAACCTTAACTTTTTCGTTAACATGATTTTAAATTTATTGTATTGTATTGTTTCTTATGATGTGTTGTATTAGTACATTCTAATTTTATCCATTATAAAACTATTAAATGATCAGGAAAATGAACGTGATGAATTAGAAGATATGGGATGTGCGGAGGAAGAAGTGGAGCCTCATATTGGAATGGTGTTTGATTCAGTTGATAGTCCGGTGAAGTATTACAAACGGTATGGTAATAAAATGGGTTTTGAAGCAATGATACGTACGTCAAAGAAATGCGATGATGGAGAGATGAGATATGTGACAGTGGCATGTTCTTGTTCTTGTTCTGAGAAAGAGAGATGTAAATCCAGAAATACCTTGAAAAAGCAACATGTTGCCAAAACAGATTGTAAGAGTCGAATTAGTGCAGCTTTGATTGGTCAATGCAAATGGGAAATTGTAAACCCCGCGTTATTATTCCAATGCCTTAAGGTATGAAATTTACTTTTCAAGTAATTTTCTTTCTTTGAATGGAAGGGTAAAATGGTCAATTTACATGTATTTCGAGATGTGGCCATTATTAAGTGTAAGGGGTGATGTCATTGAAGAGAAATGAGGGTAGAATGGTCATAAAGTTGATTGATATGGTTAAATGGCGTAAACAGTAACCAAGGGTATAATGGTCTTTTCATACAAATCCATATGTAATAAGTATCCTAAAAGTGCTTAAAGGTAAGGTTGTCATTTACCTAATGGGATTGCTTAATTGTTAAGTGTTTTAAAGAAGTCAATGGCATTAAATGGTGCTTTATCTTTATGTTTGGTAGAAATGACCAAAATACCCTTATATGAAAAATTTATGCCAAATGACCCTTATATCTAACTTTTATTGACCAATCACTTAGAGTAACAATTGAATGAATAGTTACAAGATTTTAAGTGAGAGGAGTCAGCCTTTACACCCCAAGTGCATCATCTTCTTCTCAATCTCAATCAAATCACATAAAGCCACTAATTCAAGCATTTTATTCTCAAATTTTCATAGGATTTCAAGTTGTGTTTTCAAAGGAGATCACCATCTACACTTAAAGAACTTCAATTTCAGAGTTTAGGTGAGTTTCAAAACCCTAGTTGTTCTGATCTTTAGTTAAAATAGAAATTTATAAGTGGTTATATGTATAAGGTAGTAAGGTGAACCTTTGGAGCTAAGGAGGATGTCCTTGTGCTTATATCACTAAGATAAGGAAAAAAATCTCCCTATGACTACAATTGATAACACCTAGGGTTTATGAAACTTCATTTATTTATGTTAATATGAGTGTGATGCTATGTTTTGGTTATGGATGTTTAAATGGGTGTGTTGATTGGTGTATGTGTGCATGTGAGGATGATTATGCCAATTAAGAGATTTGTAGTTCGATGATGTCTTGGCACTTTTTGATTCTGTAAAAAGGGAGGTTTTTGTGGCCTTTTATACTAAATGATTGGCAATGATATGAATGTGCAATGAAGGTGACATGGTTAAATGAATAGAATTCGGATTTGGCTTTTTGAGACTTATACTGTACATGCTTCACTAAATCAGTCATAACTGAAGTTATAGAAGTCCGATTGAGTTGATTCTGAAGTATTAAAAATTTTGAAACACACCTAAAACTTTTATGTTTTAGCCAAAAATAATTCGAATTAGAAGATAATGAAAAATGTTTTGAAAGTGACGAACTGTATGGCCTCCACCTTCTTAATGGAAATTCCCATTTGTTTCTAATTCTAATAAACCCTGAATAATCTTACTACTGAAATTCCTTGTATTGTATCAGAATTGAATGAATTAAGTTAATAAGTTTAGTAGGAGAATATAGTATGATGAGCATGGGAGATATTAGTCCATATGTTTGCATTCATATGGTAATGCATATAGCTTATTTAGTTGTCTTATGAAAAATTTATAAAATGTTAAAGAATGAATTCCATGAGTCTCTTGAGTTTTAAACCAGATCAGAGGAATGGAATTCTTGGAAACCATGAGTCTTTAGGTGACCGACCAAGAACAAGGTAATGGTTCAAATGAATCCGATCGGATAACAAGACTAATGAAAACATCAAGTAAAGACAAAAAAGCATGCCATGTACTGAATATTTTCATAAGTCATATATGTTCTATGTTATATTATGTATGGTTATGTTATGACTTATGTTTATGAGAAAAGTCCAAAGTGTATGATATGTTTTATGAACTGTTATGTCAAAGAATGAAGGTCATGTTTTGTAGGTATGTAAGGTCCTAAGTAATATACTTGTATAATGATGTATAATGAACCTTAATAGTTTATAAATGGCCATATTCCTTACTGAGCATTAGCGCTCACCCCACAAAATGTTTAAAATGTTTTGCAGGTAGGATTAAGCATGAAGCTGGAGAGGATTCCGAGGGACGCAGGAGCAGAAGGGTGTTTTAATTATGACTTTTGAATGGTTTTGCTAGTATTTAGTGTAGTAATTATGTTTATATCTCATAATGCAGTAAATATGTCCATGTTATTATAGAGTATATATGTTTGTGTTAATAAAAGAAATCAAATTGCTAGTAAATTTTGTAAAAGTATGTATGTTCTCGTAAGTACTACTATGGATTTCATAATGTACTCCAAGAAAGGAAACTATATTTTTGACTTGTACAATGAACTTATTATAGTTTAGAAATTAAAATGTTTTAAAATAAAAATAGATATATTTTTAAACTACAAGTTTATTCTTTTAATAGGATTTTAAAATAAACTTCTTTCATAGGCGTGCGTTTTCTAGGTTCTCAGTGGCCAAGGGATACTTAGGAAATACTCGGCTAGGGAGGGGTTTTACAGAAATTAAATCAGTTGTACTTGAATATAACCATGATCTTACAAGTCCGACAAAAAGATATTTCAAGGTTAACTAAACGATACAATCTTATGTGAAAATGAGCTTGAAGTTAATGATGTGGCTGGGATTAGATTATGTAAAAAATTTCAGTCATGTTCAGTTAAGGCAGGAGGTGTAGATAATTTGACGTTTCTATAAAAAGATTGTAGGAACAACATTGAAAAAGTGAGAAGGCTACAACTTGGAGTTGGAGATGTTTCGGTAGTACTCTAGTATTGTATGAAAATGCAAAAGAAGAATTCAAATTTCTAGTACATGATTGATGTAGTTGAAGAGAATCAATTACAGAATGTGTTATGAGTTGATGCTAGATGTAAGGCTGCATATAAAGAATTCGGTGATGTTGTCACCTTCGACACAATGTATCTGACGAACAAGTATGATATGCTATTTGTTGCTTTTGTGGGGATTGATCATCATGGACATTCTACATTATTAGGTTGTGGGTTAATTTCCCATGAGGACACTGAGACATTTGTATGGCTATTTTGTTCTTGGCTTGAATGCATGGATGCTGCTCCTAATGGAATTATCACTAAACAAGATAAGGCCATGCAAAATGTAATTGAGATTGTTTTCTTTGGTACAAGACATAGGTGGTGTTTGTGGCATATAATGA